AAATTATGACAATTTCAAACAAAAATTCTTGAAGCAATTCTGGCATGAAGACAAGCAATTTGAAGTTAAAATGAAAATCGAAAAGGGTCCATACACAGAGGGTGATTCATTTGTAGACCACTTCAATAAATTTATGGCAATGGCTAGATACCTAGAACAGCCATTTCCCGAAGCAATTTTAGTTGCCAAAATTGGCAAACATTTTCCCCCAAATGTTAGAAGTAGTTTGATTGGGGTACAGTCAGCTGAGGAGGCGTTGGAGAGGCTTCGTCACGCTGATTTCTACTATCCTCCCCCCTCAACAAGTAGGGTTAGGTTTACGTCATCTGAAGACCAGTTTGCTAAAAAAGAAAAATTTTATCAAAAACCAAGTCCCGGAAAATATGTTAGTAAAAATGTTGCAAACTTGGAACTTGAGTCTGAAACGTTGGTTTCGGAAAACTAAATCACTTTCCACATTCCAGCCCTATTGTGGAAGGTGTACTCAGTAGGGCCTTACCTAATGATTTCTTTCAGGACGAATGTGAATATGAACATTCAAAATCGGACCGACAATCTCCAATAATTGAGGCAAATTTTCATGGGTTCAAATTTCCGGCTCTAATAGACAGTGGGAGCCAGATTTCCTGTATTTCTGGAGAGGTTTGGTCCCAAATTTTAAATGTCTGTCCAGACACCCCTTTTTTCCCCTGTACTGGCGTCCGAGTAACAGGGGCGTTTCGTTCTAAGCAGAGACGAATTGAGGTACAGTCACTACTAACAATGAGATTGAACAATATTTATGATTTTTGTTTTGAATTTCTGATAATACCTGATCTAATTTACCCGGTGATAATAGGGGTTGATTTTCTAAAATCCATGAAGGCAAAAATTGACTTGTCTACTAACACTATTCAAGTAGTTTGGAGTAATAAAACTATCAATATACCAACCCTTAATATGCCACATGATTTCCAAGCACCGGAGGCTCCCCAAATCAACTTGTTATCTGAAAAAAAAATCTGTTTTTTACGGACCATTGGCGAAAACGATCAGTTAAATTCTTCCCCTTTTCAGGAAATTATCAATAACTGTTCTCTAGCTGGAACAGAGAAGATGGCTTTTGAATCCCTCCTTGAAAAAAATAAAAACATATTCTCAGAAACTCCCGGTTTGACAAATGAATATGAGCATGACATAAAACTGATCAATAATACTGGGGGATTTTTTGTGAAACCTTACCCCATCCCCATTGCCCATAGGGGAGCCGTCTACCAAGCCATCGCACAAATGGAAAAACAAGGGGTGATAGAACGAGCGGTCACCCCATTTATTTCACCCTTGATGACCACTGTAAAAAGGGACCAGTCTGTTCGCATCTGTTTGGATGCACGTAAGCTGAATTCCTCAATGGAGAGGGATTATGAGCTTCCCACTCCTATCGAAGAAATCCTCCGGACAATTACCTCAAATGGGGTGAAATTCATGTCCTCTCTAGATTTGTGCTCTAGCTACTACCAGATCCCCTTGAGCGCTCACTCTAAAAAATATACAGGTTTTATGGTTGGTACAAAAACTTACCAATTCCGAGTTCTACCGTTTGGTTTATGTACGGCAGTGGCTGCCTTCACACGCTGTATTGACACCATTTTTGGTCCGGAATTTCAGTCCTTTATGTCCAGCTACGTGGATGACTTGTTGGTAGTGTCCAAAACGTTTGATGAACATTCAGACCATCTTCAGAGGGTGTTTTCAAGGCTTGCAGAAGCAGGCTTTACCTTACGCCTGAAAAAATGTCATTTTTTTAGATCAGAAATGCCTTTTCTTGGTTACATCTTGAACCATGAGGGTATCAAACCGGACCCAAGTCGCGTCCAAGCCGTTTCCGATTATTCACCTCCCCAAAATGTTAAGCAACTGCAACGCTTCTTGGGGTTGTGCAACTTTGATAGGTCTTTTTGTCCCAGATTCTCGGCCTTAGCAGAACCATTGAACGTTCTCCTGCGTAAAAAAGAAGGTTGGCGTTGGGGAGGGAGCAACAAAGAGCTTTTCAAGATATAAAAAATGCCCTGAATCAAGCCACACTTTTGTATCACCCCAATAAAGACCTAGATTGGCATGTTCAGGTAGATGCTAGTGATATTGGTCTTGGGGCCCATCTCTTTCAGATTGTCAACTCGGAGAGGAGAGTGGTGGCCTGGGCCAGTCGTCTGCTGTTGCCTCGGGAGACCAGGTATACCAGTAATGAGAAAGAAGTCCTGAGTGCCGTTTTTGCCTTGAAAAGATGGCGCATTTATCTTTTAGGCCGACGTTTCACTTTGCACACCGATAACCGCGCTCTCACCTATCTAAATTCTTGTAGATTATTATCACCTCGCATCACCAGGTGGGCTTTGGCCTTGCAAGAATTCGATTTCGAGCTCAAATACGTTCCGGGCGTCCAAAATATCGTCGCAGACGCCCTCTCTCGATTTTCGTGTGCCCGTCCAGCTACGCCACTGGCAAAGTGTTTCCACTTACTCCACTTGAAGTTATCTGACACTTTTCAACAAAAACTAAAAGGGATAAAAAAAATTCAGGAGGCAGATCCTAAATGGGGAGATGTTATAGCAAACTTGGCGAATAGTCATCACCTGCAAGCAAAGTTTGCATTGTGGAATGGAGTTTTGTATATCCGTCGAACAGACGAGGAAGCCTATTTGCTTTGTGTCCCCAAGGTCCTGATACCGGATTTTTGTTTAGCCTATCATGAAGCAATTTTGCATTTTGGGGTTTACAAAACCTGGTGTGCCCTAAAGGACGAGGTGTATTGGTCAAATATGTATAGGGATATCAAGAAATTCCTGAAATCCTGTGATGTGTGCCAAAAAACCAAATTTTCAATTTTGCCTAAACCCCCGATAAACCCCATCGTACCAGTAGCCAAGGGTGATTTGGTAGCTTTGGACCTGTATGGACCCCTTCCCAGGAGTAGGGCTGGGGCCACCTTCTTGTTGGTCATACTTGACGTGTTCACCAAGCTAGTTGTCCTCTATCCTTTGAAAAAGGCCACTACCAAGGCAATCCTAAATCGACTAACCTTGGACTATTTCCCAACTATGGCCGTCCTAAGAGGATTCTGTCTGATCATGGGACCCAATTCACTGCTTCCTCATGGAAAGCTACCCTCAACAGTTTAGGGGTTGTGCTAGTTTTCAGCTCTGTTCGGCACCCTCAGGCAAACAGTTCGGAAAGAATCATGCGTGAACTGGGACGTTTGTTCCGAGCATACTGTCAGGGCCATCATACTCGCTGGGCTTTCGAAGTAAAGCGTTTCCAATCAGTACTCAACTCCGTGATTCATGAAAGTACAGGGTTTTCAGCTCAGGAACTGCATTTTGGTAAGGACAAGTTGCAACTACTGCCTCCCAAATTACGGACCCCTATTGATGGTCTTGACCTTCTTTCGTGGGACCAGAAGCTTGTCCTGGCCAGGGAAAGTTTAGAGAGCAGGGCTTCCAGAAGAGCGGTGAACTACCCCAACCGCCCCTACAAGCAGTTCAACCCAGGAGACTTAGTGCTGCTGCGGGCAAACCCCATGTCTTCGGCACTCAATGCAGAAACAACAAAATTTCTCTTGTTGTTTGAAGGTCCTTATAAAATCAAGAAAACGGTTAGTTACTGTACTTACGTTCTCTCTGCCTTGGACGATGATAACAAAGAAAGAGGGATTTTCCACATCAGTCACCTGAAGCCCTACGTTTCCGCAGAAGCTTTCCGTCCTCCGTGATGTCGTCGAAAGGCTTGGGGGGCGAAGATGAAACAAGACCTCCGTGGAACTCCCTCATCATATTTATGTATCCTATCGAATATTAACATTTGGTTGATTTTTTCTTGCCCTTGGAAACCTATGCAGTTCGATATCATCTCTCGAAATCATTTGGTAATAATTTGTAATTATTTTATTGTTTTCACTTTCATTTTCTGTACTGATACTTACCCGCTCACGCCACCACTTAGCTATGCAAAGAATTATTAACGCACTTGCCTCGACCTCGCTGTATTTTTACAGTAATCTGGCTAATGGGTCAATTCCCAAAATATATACTAGCGCATAACTCCGCAAGGTGTCGCTACTGGTACCGTTTTTCAATTATTTCCACTTGAGTGGGCCTCTGGCCGTTTTTGCGCTGTTTTTTTTTATATTGCTACCAGAATAAAATTCTTTTAATTCTAACTTTCGGCGTATGAACCGGTCTCTGGCAGCCTTTGGCTCGACAATTGTGCAATAATTTAGCTGTTCATACTGATATTGTATCGATTTGGCCTGGTGCTTTAGGTAAGAGTAGAAAAACACTTTGTTTGTGAAATATTCACCTAATTCTGTAAACCTTTTTAGATCACGTATTATACAACGAATAAATGAATCACGTGTTCCATGGGCAAACTTTGAGTTTTTCATCCACAATTCCAACTCGTAAAGAACCCCTATAAAAGAAAAGCAAGCTGGTCAAGTGCTTTTCCCGTTTCACCCTGAAAGTAATCACGGCCGTCAGGTATTTCGAAGATGAACAATATTTAAGTTAGTGTAACATGCTGCGCCATCTGTTAGAACAATTTGAAATGTGTGCCTGAAATGGTGTAACTGTAAACTGCTTGACAGATATGAGAAATGCGTCAACAAATTTTCGAGTGCGTTGATATAGTGTAACGAAGTTTTGGAAGGTATGTTTATCAACATTATTTTCAAGTATATAATTAAGATAAATATAGTCGCATGATGTACATGTTACCTTCTTTACTCCAGTATAATAAATTTTGACTCAATTTACTGATTGTTGAGGATGTCGATGGAAACATATTTATAGGTTAAATTCGGGTAATAGCAGCCAGCGCTGTGCTAGTAATGGCGGCCGGCCGTCATTACCTTACTGCGCACCGGAGAATGTTATAGCAATGTAGCCATTAGCATATTCGCTGTATTGAGACAAATATTTTTATTACAGATGCCAACTAAATATATCAGAAAAACCACAAAAGCCATGTGGTCTTCAGAACAAATGGAAGCCGCATTGAATGCCATTCGTGATGGTAGGAGAATCAGGGAGGTTTCTAGGGAATTTGGTATTGCTAGGAGCACTCTTCCCCAGTTAACCACACATGTCTCAGCTTTATCACAAGAGAGATCAGTCAAAGAACTTTGTTTCATCACACCGTTCTGAAACATATGCAACTTGCATCTAAAATATAACATGCTACTTCTACAAATCAGTGTTTCATCACACGTTCTATCAATGTGATAAAATTGAGACACCCTAGGCGTCATCACACAAGAGATCAATCGAAGAACTTTGTTTCATCACACGTTCTATCAACGTGATAAAATTGAGGCATCCCAGGCGTCATCACAAAGCAGATCAATCAAAGAACTTTGTTTCATCACACGTTTTATCAACGTGATAAAATTGAGGCATCCCAGGCGTCATCACAAAGCAGATCAATTAAAGAACTTTGTTTCATCACACGTTCTATCAACGTGATAACATTGAGGCATCTCAGGCGTCATCACAAAGGAGATCAATTAAAGAACTTTGTTTCATCACACGTTCTATCAACGTGATAAAATTGAGGCATCCCAGGCGTCATCACAAAGCAGATCAATTTAAGAACTTTGTTTCATCACACGTTTTATCAACGTGATAAAATTGAGGCATCCCCAGGCGTCATCACAAAGCAGATCAATTAAAGAACTTTGTGGCATCACATTCCACAACGTTCTGAAATTGAACTGATGCAAATTGCATCCAAAATATAATTCTTGCTTGTATTGTAGGTTTATTAGTGATTATTTGAGTAGGTACGTGAAATTCACTGTGGTTGTGGTTAATGTGGTTTAACAATCACGAAGACGAAGAATGTGCTTTGTGTTCACTGGGCTTTCCTATCCTAACCTCACTTTTTCGTGGATTTTCAAGAAATTTGGTAACGAAACGAAATTAGCAGCACAAAAGCCACAGAAGGATACCTCGTTGTTTACAAAACAAAACTAATGTATTTGTTATTTCACTAAATGACCAGAACAACAATGATCTGCCATTCACCAAAATCACCAAGATGACTCTTGTTTCATTGGAATCATTAGGACATTCATTCCAAATAAGCCACTTGTGTGATTCGAAGCCCTCTGCTGATGTATTCATCAGTACCACCGTATACTTTTATACGGTGTCAGTATACCTACCAAGGTAAGTAAGTTTTAGATATGATTTGCCTACCTTTGCAGTTTGCACACCATCATGTCTAGGTGGAAGTCATTTCAATTGTATAACAATTAAATTTATAATCATTGAATAATCATTCATAACTCATTGACCACATGAAATAGATATCTGATGCAAATAATAATAATGTTTTGGTTCTTTATTCTAGCTAGGTTTGAGGCTATTTTTCAGTTTTGAAGTACTTGTGATTCTTTGTATCCAACAAGGAAATTCAACTCTGCAATTTTAGTGACAATATTTGTAAATGTACCTTATGTTTTGTGTCATATTTTCATTATTATTATAGGTATGCTACTAGTTTGTAGTTTCAAATTGAATTTTTATTCCAGTTGGACTTCAAGAGAGGAAAATCAACAATTTTGATTTCAGGTACAAAAATATACTGAAGAGACCAGGTTTTGATTCCCATGTAGCTAAGACAGCTGGTTAGACCAATCTGAGTTTTCATAATAATGACAGGTGAACATTTGTTTTGTATACTTTTATTTGCACTGAAATATTATTTATTCTAGTTGTAGTACTAAAGATTTTGATCTTGATTTTGATGGAAAAATGGTTGGAGAGAACAGTAAAAACAAAACAATGATCTCCCATGAAAATGAATGATAACTTTTCTATGCATCACTTCCAAGAGATGGAATCTGCAGGTAAAAAGGAAATAAATGAAGGAGTTATGAAAGAAAACCATGCTGTGATCATAATGATAACTGGGAACGCCCTGTGTAGGAATATATTGTTACGACCCTGGCAATCGAGCCCAGCTACCTGCGGAAAGTAAACAAGCCATATTTCTTGGAATAGTAATTAGGTGATTCGACGGCTATTGAGATGACTCGAGAAGATTATCGACCTGTTCACGATATTTCGAGTGGAATCTAGACGTTTTATTAGCTAATATAAATAGATGTTGTTAGGGACAGGAAGTTAAGTCTTTATTTGGAAGCGTTATAATAACGATCGAAGAAGTGTTGTGAATCGGAAGTGTTTAGTACGAGTATTGTTATTATTGTATAGTAGTGTTCAGAATAAATCGTTTTAAGTGTTCTACCGAGTGTTAAATTATTACGGACCCATAGTAAAATCGTAACAGTGGTGTCAGAAGTGGGATTTTTCGAGGACATTTGAAGACGTATGGTGAATACAAGGAGTACGTCATACGACGCGATGGAAGACATTTTGAAATTTATGCAAAATCAGTTCGCGGAACAAGAGGAACGACGACAGAAAGAAAAACAAGAGGAGGAGAAACGTCGTCAAGAGGAAAAATTAGAAGAAGAGAAACGTCGTCATGAAAAAAAATTAGAAGACGAGCAACGTCGTCAAGAAGAGTTACAGAAAATTCTAGAGCATCAAGAAAAAGAACGAGAACATCAGAAAATCTTCTTCGAACAAATTCTGCATAAAACTGATGTGCAAATAGATGAGTTGAAGACAGATTTCACCAAAATTGACGACAAGCTTAACCAGGAAGTTTCAAGAATAGATTCCATGTTCGATACAATCAAAAGAGATGTAGCGAATCAGATCGCCTCGCTACGAAGTCAAGATCGTCGTGACAGGGTTGCCACATCGGGTTCTTCCGTGAAACCACCAACTTTTGATGGACAGTCGCCTTGGTCTATGTATCGCCGACAATTTGAGGCTGCAGCAAGTGCAAATGGGTGGAGTGACGAGGAAAAAGCTACTGCACTCATTGTAGCTCTGAGAGGACCAGCTTTGGGGATGTTACAGTCGATCCCAGTGAAACAACAAAACCACTTCGGAGATTTAGTGGCTGCGCTAGAACTCAGGTATGGAGACCAACATCGAGAACAGCTTTACCGGGCTCAGATGAAAAATCGTGTGCAAAAGTCTGGAGAGAGCCTACAGGAGTTCGAAGCAGATGTGAGAAGACTGAATCAATTAGCGTACCCAGAGGCACCAGAGAACTTCAAAGAACAACTGGCGGTGCAGGTATTCATCGACGGGCTGAGAGACTCAGAAATACAGAAGACTCTGAGGCTAACACACTTTAAGAGGAGCGGTGAAGCCCTTGTAAGATCTCTGGAGGTAGAAGCGGCCTTCAACACCTCTAGGCCAAAAGTGAGAGCTGTGTCCATAGAGGAGCCTTCCGAACACGTGGACCCATTGGCAAAAATGTTAGGAAAAATGTTTGAAGAACTGAAGGACTCGATCAAAGAAATTAAGAGTGGGTCAAGCAACCAGCAAAACAGATCCTGCTATCGCTGTGGCAGAACTGGACACCTAATAAGGGACTGTAAGGTGAGAGTACCACCACGATCTTCTTCACCTGCAAGGACGCCATTACGGTCGTACTCACCTGCGAGGACTATGTCATCTAGTGAGTCCTCAGATAGATACCAGGAAAACTAGAACTAGCCAGCGTATCGGGGCGCATGCTGGCTAGCAATAACGAAGCCCCCAGGGTCATAAACATCAAAAGGATAAGAAGAACAACTGATAGCCTGACCATCAAAGGAAAAATCAACCAAATGGATGTAACCTGCACCATAGACACCGGTGCATCAGTTTCCCTGGTACGCAGTGACATTCTCCGGCCTGGAAGTATAAAACCAACCACTTCCAACTTTGTTCTTCGTACGGTCACTGGAGAAAATGCACCTATACGAGGGATGACTGATATCGAGTTGACGCTTGGAAGACTCTATATAGTGAACATGGTATACGTCGCAGATATCGAAGATGAGTTTATCCTCGGCATGGATCTGATAAGCGACTACGGGTTTTCATTCGACAGTGATCAGAAGACCATGAAATTTGGTGGAGAAGAGTTTGTACTAACGACACCGGCCGAGAGGGAGACGTCAGTGAGGCTACGACTTGCGAAGACTGTGAGAATTCCTGGATTCACTGAAAAGATCATCCATGCGCGATCAGAGAAGGACCCTGGGTGCTGCGTTGGATTAGTACAGTCATGTGAGGAATCCCCCAGCAAGCTGTTACTTGCCCGAGCTTTAGTGACCACCGAACGAGACATTCCTGTGAGGGTAGCAAATGTGTTACCTACCACCATAACAGTAAGGGAAGGAGACATCATCGGAGCTTGTGAACCAGTCAGTTGGGTAGCAAAATGTGATGAGACTAACGAGCAGAGATGGAGGGAACGAGATGACAGTGCATTGAGAGTTCTGGAAACCTCCTTGGACCACCTATCACCAACGGAATATAAAGCTGCCAAGAAATTCATAGCAGACGAAAGTGATAATAATAATAATAATAATAATATATAGTTTATTGAAAAAGTACAGTTTTGTATAAAATTCAAAATGGATTCAGAAATAGAGTTTCAATAAACCGCAAAACTCACTAAGGCAGATTGCTTGTGCGTGAGTTGTTAAGATTTATATAACATACATTGGTTTGTTGTATAGCAAAATTTTGAGGGAACATCTCCTGAGAGCAAGAGAAACCCCATCGAACAACTGTTACATTAGAGGAAATAAACTGATTGTGAACAATACAACATATTCAATCCAGCAATTGAAGGAAATAGGCCAAACGCATTGCCAAATATCTGAAACAGAGGAAGAGGGAGCTGCAGCACAAGTACCAACAAAAGAAGACGAAATTCAACGCAGGGAAAAAATTATCGAAGATACCCACCAAGGGACACCAAAATCTGGAACGATCAGAAAAGTTATACTGGAGCCTGTAGCAAAAGAAATGCTGAGAACTCGTTCCCAAGCTAAGTATCTCGGAAAACTTCATTTTTGAGCACCTAACTTACTCCATCAGCAGTTGTTTTTATCATTCTTTTCTCAGTTATGTAAAACAATATTTTTT